ACACCTGTCGCCCATCGTCCCCTCCAGTCCTGAGTACTCACTGTCTCAACAATCGAGAGACTCAGTCTCCCAGCTTACCAGTTCACCTGTGGGCCACACCTGTAAGCTGCAGTCCTGCAAGTGTGTGTGTGTGTGTGTGTGTGTGTGTGTGTGTGTGAGAGAGAGAGAGAGAGAGAGAGAGAGAGAGAGAGAGAGAGATTCGGCAGCAGCGGGTCCACAGCCACCGAGTCTGAGCATCCGCCCAGGGCGGCAGAACCAGCATGAGAATACAAGGGCCGCCGAATGCCCTGCACAGTTCCTTGAAAATGAAAACACTCCACGCGGACACACTACACAAGATGATGCATTGGATTGCTGGTCTGGTCCCTGCGTGTTGTGGGGGGTAGGGCACGAGGGCAGGTACATAAAGGGAAAATAAAGACCAACATGATGGGGCCCGGCACAGACCAGTGATGAGAATGTGTGCTCTTCAGCCAAAAGTAAACAAAGCAAAAGGAAAAACATAACAAACATGGAACAAAACAATTTCAGGAAAATAAAGAAGAAATGAAATTCTCTCACAGACCCCCCCAATTAAAAATTAAAATTAAACCCCAAAATCTCAAAGTACAGTCCCCTGCATGAATGAACCCCTTAAATTTTTCAGCCGCTGCCTGGGGCGCTGGTCCTGGGTTGTTGCGTCTATTAACAAACTCAGATAGTGAAGCTCTGGTCCTGCCGTCTGCCGAGGGCAGAAGCTCTCAATCTGGTGCTCATTCCTACACAGCACCGCGCCTGCCTTCTCCGTTGCCAAAATGCCCACCTGTGTGCCTTTGTTAGGGTTGCTGCGACCTGCAACGAGGCCTGCAAAGTCTGGGCCGAGTCTTTTCTAGGTCTGGCGGCTGCTGTAAATCCCAGCAGAAAGCGAGGGGACGCAATGCAAGCTTAGTACAGACTGGGCTGCTGGAGCGGAAGTCTGTTTCTGCAGGCCACTCCCCCGAAGCGGTGGCACATTGCCAGGAGTCCTCAGAGGCATTTGTGGCAACCAGGACCCTGCTGGGTGTCCACCATCCTGCTCTCTGTAAATGTTCCAACGTGTGTGCTTCTGGAGTGCCAGTCCAGTACTGTCCCCAGATTCTCAGAGGAGCCAGGCCCCTTCCCCACGCTCACATCCACAGAGGGAATTGTCCAGCAGAACCCAGAGTCCCTGGCCTTCTTCCACCCTCACACGTCCCCAGCCACCGAGGGCTCCCAGTTGAAAGAGGTTCAGCTAGCTGGTGGTGGTGTTGGGAGGGGATCCCAACATTCACTGTTCAAGGGGTCCAGCAGTTTCCTGTACTTCTGCTCTCAGACAGGTTGGGGTTCTGGGCCAGGTGGGGAGAGCCATAGTTGGTATGCCAAAAGAGTGCTCTGAGAGCAGTTTCCGAGTCCTACCCAATCTGGGCCAAGGTGGCAGCACAGAGTTGGGGGCAGAGGGAGCAGCCCCAGTAGGTTTTTGAGACCCGCAGGCCCAAGAGACCACTTCAGGTACATAGGGACCGGCACCACACTGATTGTTTGGGTGTTGCTGTCAGACAGCCTGCCATTCCAGGCTCTATCCAGACGTATTGTTGAATTCGAGTTGGGAATGATCCGGATATCCTGTGGGAGCACCTGGGTGTTCTGGTGCTAGCAGAGATTGTGAGGTTGGAGGAAGTATGAATTTGAACTAGTTTCCTCTTGTGGTTGCGGAGATCCTGGGTCCACCAAAAAGGCCTTTGCACTGCCCTCGCACGCCACCACTGCAGTTAAAGCCACGGCAAGGAGGCGGCCAGCTCCTTCCCGCTGCCTCCTGCCCCTGGCTGGCGAGCCCTTAACAAATATGAAACAAAAGGATCCCCCATCTCTACCCCTCAGCAGCCAGAGGGCCCTGCACACAGAGGTGTGGAGAGGCCTGCCTGGCCATTTGCTCCCTGGGGAAGCCCAGCTGCGTCCTCGGCGGGGCGAGCGGTGCTCCGTTGTGTGCACACGCCTGTCATCCCAGCGGCCTTATTTGTGCAGCGTGTGGCATGAGGCAGCCTCCATTTTGAGGTGGGGGCAGCAGCAAGGTCCATCTCCCGGGTTCCCTGACCCGCATTTCCACAGAGGCAGTCAGAAGCTTGAGTGATTGGTTGAGCAGCAGTCCCTGAAGAGGACTGGGGGCCACAAGTTTGGTCTGCAAGGTGTTCGGAACCCTCTTTTCATCAGCCAGTTCTTGACCCCTTGGCTGCTCACCTCCACACCGTGTTGGGCCAGGGCCCAAAGGAGACCATGTTCCCAATTGGGGGTGGGGGCGGCGGGGAGAGTTGGGGAAGGCCTCTGAGAAAGGAGCCCCACTCCCAGAAGTGGTTTGTGGGTCACCTCAGAGCTCCCCCTTTGTCATTCAATGAAGTATTTCCCAAGATTCTGCTGGGTGTTTGTGGTTGTACAGACATCACTTCTGACCCTTCGCACAGTCCTTCAAGGTAAGAGCTATGGGTTTCTTAGTACAGACGAGGGAATGGGCTGGGTGGGGGGGAACCTAGTTCAAATTCAAATGGCTGTAAGGCCAGTATTCAAAACCAACTTCACTTAATTCCAGTGCCCAAGCATTCCTCTTACTCTCTGGGCCATGGGTCTTCCCAAAAGATCTGCTACCTTGGGATGGGGCCCTTAGGGGAACAAGCGCTGAATGGGAAGGAAGTGGAAAGAAGGGCAATGACCCAGAGAGAATGGGGCTCTTTCCCAGAATCCTCACCCCACCAGCATCCCGAAGGCTTTTGATGCAAACCTTTAAAAATTTCCTCCAAAGATACTTAGGATGTGTTCTCAGAGGTCAAAAGCAAAATGTACTCTCTGCTTAGAGCATACAGGAGGGACATTAATCTTGGGGCTAAGGCATTGTTGACTTCTCACCAATGCAGGGCCATTCACTTGTCAGAGCCTCTGCCCTGGGCCCTGGCGGGGCCTGAAGTGACGCAGGTGACCCTGGCTAGGAGGGATTAGTGGTAAATAACACCCCGAGTATCTCAGGCCCATAATAACCTCATTGTTATTAAATGAGAAAGGACAAAGGAATTTATGAGGGCCCTGTTTATACCTTTTGATTTTTTTTAGGTGCATAAGTACCTTCTATGCTATATTTTCACTATATTGTACAAATGGGACAGCATCACTGTATGTACATTTATGAAAGTACACCTTCTGAACATGCACACAAGTCTATCCCTGCCTGGCTGCGGACTGTTCCCAGCATGGGTGTCCTGCACTCCACAGAACTCACAATTGTCCAGGAGAAGGAAATGCCCACCCATAGATGGGGTGTGAGGTGCTGCTCAGTGTCACAGGCACTTGAGGGCCTTAATCGAGTAGCATGGGTGTAGCAGATGATTTCTCCATGTATGTAAGCCCTGAGGATTTCCTTAATGGAACTCCAAGCTGGCTGCTATCACCTTGCACCCAGGACACCCCACAGTCTACGAAATGGCATCTCATTTAATCCCAGGTGCCCAAAAGGTCCACACACCTGCTGGAATACCTGCTGGATGGGGACTACTCCCCCCCCCCCCCACAATGCCTTGCCCTGTACCTCAAGCCTGCACCCAGAGTAGCCACGGGCACCCTGTCTCTAGGTGACCACATCTGATACTAGGAGTGTTTCCCAAGACCAGGTTCCCTGAGTCTATGTCTAGGACCGTCATCAGTCCACTTCACACCGAGCTGCCTCCATGCTCTGCCCTAGCCGGGTCCCCCACTCCCAGAGCCTCCCAAACCCAGCAGCTGTGTGGAGGTTATGTTGAACCAGACCACAGCGTCCCATTCTGAGTGTGAGTAGCCCAGCTCGGATCAGACAAATTCGGGGTCCTGGAGCTGGAGTGACCTCGAGTTCGGCTGGTTCCCCTTCCCCAGGAGCTGGGTCTGGAAAGTCCAGAGGAACGCAGCGGGCAGGACAGACGTTTAAGAAAGAAGAGGCTGGGAAAAGGCAGCGGAAGGAAGCTGGGCGAGGGAGTTGGGGAAGGAGGCCACGGGAACCGTTACACACGAGTGGCCTCTTTTGGGCTGTGGGTCTCTGGGTCCGGGGCTCTGGGATACGTTGGCCGTGGCCTAGAAAAGGGCTGAGTGCGAGACCCCAGGACCCGCTTCCTCTCTTCATTTTTCAGGGCGAGGCGAGATCTGGCGAAAGCTGAGCCAAGGGCTTCGCGTGAGGCTGGCTGCCTGGGAGGGCCGGGGTGAGGCGGTCAGACCAGCCCCGTTCTCGCGGCGAGGAGGCCGGGGAGAGCCGGGTACTCGGGCGCAGTCCAGAGGCGCTTGCCGGAGAGAGAGCTGAGAAGGCGAGCTCGGCGGAGAGAACCGCCAGGAGAGAAGGAAGGTGGGGGAAAGAGAGAGACGCGAAAGGCCAGGCAGAAAGAAGGCCTCACCGACAGCCGGCTGGGCCCAGGCGCCGCGAGGAAGTTGGAAGCCAGAGCGAAGCACCGGCGGGCGGGCGCCGGGAGAGCCCTCCCCCGCGTCCCTCTGCCTCCCCGGTGCCTCCCTGGTGCCTCCCGGTGCCGGCGCGCCGCTGACGCGGGGAAACCAGGCTGCGCTGGAGGCGCAGAAGCTTCCCGGCCGCAGAGCGGAGCCCCGGCCTTTCCTGGGCGCGGCGGTGTCTGGCTCTGGTCCCTCCCGGTCCTGACCCCTCTTGTGAGCTCCCGAAGCGTTTCTCCGCGCCTTCCGCGAAGCACTAGATGCCGGGACCCGTACGCCCCCCTCTGCCCCGGCCTCCGCCGCCGAGGGGCCGGCCCCAGCGGCTGCGAATGTACGGTAGAGGAAGGGGGATCTCTTCGGCCCCGTTCACGGCTTTGTCCTTGGCACTCACGTCAATGTCCAGCACACAATAGGCACTCAAAATAATATTGACTGAATGAATGGCTGAATGGTGGCTGATGGAATTAATATATTGATTGGGAGGTGGAGCCTGCGGGAAGGTCGGAGACCCCAGTTAGGGTAGGGTAGGGGTCCAGGGGTCCAGGGAAGCGAGCACTTACCTCGTACCAGGATGCGGCGGCAGTGATCTGTCTCTCCAACCCCCGGCTGCCCGTCGCTGTCCGCGCCGCTCTCCCTGGAGCCCGCGGGGCTACAGGCAGAGGTCCTGGCAGTCTCCCCCGGGCTGTGGCCGCCGGCATCAGCCCTCGACTCTTCCGCGGCGCGGCTGTCGGCGCCGCGCCCTCCGCGAGACTCCCGGCGTGTAGGGCCCCGGTCGCGCTCTGCGCCCCCATCGCCCATGCCCGCAGCCCCCGTCGCTTTCGCCACTGAGAGGCCAGCCCGCGCTGGCCAAGCCGGCGGCGGCGCGCCGCCACTCGCGCCCCCCTCCGGACTGGGACCCTCCTCTGGCCCCGCCCTCGCCGGCCGCTCCACCTCTTTCCGCTGATTGGGCAGGTGTCGCCGGTCTGTCACTCCCAGGGGCGCGATAGGGAGCAGCGCACGCGGGCGGGCGGGGCGCCGGGGCCCCACATCTCCCACCCCCAGTCTAGCCCCGTCGGAGCCCGCAGAAGGAGGCTGGGGCGGCCCGGGGTGGGACGCCCTACATCTCTCCTCTAGTTACCAACTCCCTCCTCCAACCGCCAGCCTACGCCCCTCCCCGTTCCCCTTGTCCCCAGGGAAGCACACAGCCTTGGAGCTCCGGCTTTTCAGCTGCATCAATAACCAAAATGCTGCAGGAAGGCGACTCCGGGGAGACGTAGCAGAAAACTGGAGGTTGGCCTTCCTCCGGCACTTGGCGGGGTTGGGGAGGGGAGCGGCTGTAGGCGGGGACTCGCGCGGAGGGTTCAGTGCTCCACCCCCGCCCCCAGACTCAAACCTCCAGCCACACTCTTGAACCCGCACAGAAGGCCCCTCCTGGCGCTCCTGGGAGAGTGAGGCTGGGAATGTGGTAAAGGAGCCAGAAAGAGTGAGGCAAGGGAACCGTTGGAATGACACGCCCTGGCCAGGGGAAAGAAAATGAACGGGGAGACAGATAACCGGTACCAGGAACCGAGAGGGTCGAGTGAGGACGAGACTGATACGCAATTAATGCCCGGTTGCCCTCGGGCTCTGAGGCCTTCACACAGGGCACCGTACTCTCCGACAGGGATAGAAGGTTGGCCTTTCCTTGCGTCACGCCCCTGGCCGTTGAACCCCTTCCCCACCGCGCCTCAGTCCCGGGTCCCGGATCTCGCCTTCTCTGGGCTGGAGAAAGGCGGGAGCCAGCGCGAGCGCGGCTGGACGTCCCGCCGGGCTATGGAGCTGAGCACTGGGTGACCCTGGGTATTGTGTCGTCGTCTGAGGCGCGTCCAGCTCCCCAGCACTTTCTGAAGGACCCGTGCTTACACGAGTTTGGCTTCTTCTTTGACAACGACAGGAGAGGCCAGGTCCGGATTTTCCTTCCTTTAACTGAGAGAGGACCTTAGCAGGAAGATTGAGAGAGCCCAGAAAAGATGTGTGTGCAAAAAAGGGCCCGTGATCCTTTTCTGTAAAGCGCTACCACAGCAGACTTTGCTTTTCCTTTTTTGGCCCTCATGCTAGGGTGAGTGAGGATGCTTCAGCCCCAGGATCTGGGGTGGGCCCCTGGATGTGTGGGTGTAAATGGCTGTGGCATGGCTGAGTGCGATGCTGGTGCAACCTCCATGACTCTGACGAGCACGTCTGCAAGTATACGAATGTGCGTGAGTCAGTGTCTTAGTGTGCGTCCAGTGTGTGTGTAAAGCAGTTGAGTGTGTGTATGTGTCCAATCTCAAACACCCCCAGCCTAAGACAGGTGGGAGGGACGCACAAATTATTTAATTGAGCCACCGTGCCTCGATATAGGGTTTGAGACTCTGGGAAAAGGGAGAGTCTAGAGGAAAGAGGAGGAGGCCTGTTTTTCTGTACTAACGGGAAGGGAGGGAGGAAGGAAGGGAGGAAGAAGGAAGGAAACTTGCCCACAAGGTAATTTGGGTGTGGGAGAGCAAGCGGCACTATTTCCTCCGTGTGTGTGGCAGAGTGTGCAGATGGAGAGCCGCATAGATCTGCTGCTGGTGCTGAGAGTTCGTGGCACCCAGGGGCCTGGGAGAAAGGAGGTTTATAGTTACAGGAGGTCTGGTAACCCCCCTTGGGGAGTGTGACTTAGAGGGACCCAGCTTTGTTGGAAGGACCCACGCTGTGCAAGTGCGGTGAGTCCTGCACATGGTCCCTTTGGGCCTGGCCCCTGGAGGAGCAGCAGAACTCAGCGACGCCCCCCCCCCCCATGAGACAGTGCGCCCTCCACCCTGGCCCAGCAGGACGCTGGTCTCCGATCCAGCCTGTCATCACGTCCCACTCCAATCCTTCTCTCTGGCTCTCTCAATTTTATTTTTATTATTCAAGCAAGCCATGTCCAGTATGGAAGATTTCTAAGCAGAAAGCAAACACTCCGCTCGAAATTTTGCAGCCCCCAAGCTTGTCCCTCTTGCCACACCCCAGGCCCGGGTTTCTGTTCAAAGAAAAATGCAGGAAACAGCGCCTGAACCTTGCCGGGTTTGTTTGTTTTCTCCCTTTTAAATTTTCGTCTCAAGAACGACATTCTGTGCGGGTAACTCAGGTCTCCGTTTTGGTGTCCTCTTCTAAGGTCCATAGATGGGCTCCCCCGCGCAGTCACACTCACTGCGAGCTGGCCATTCTGCGGAGAGGCGCGTGGCCCCCTGCAGAGCTGCGCGGAGCCAGGCGGGGCGGTGGGCCGCCTCCCCTTCTCTGGCTGCGGGGGAGCGGGCAGGGAACACTCGAGGAGGGGGGCACAGGACAGCCCCAGTTGACTGTGGGAAGTTCGCAGTCGTCCCCTTTCCCCCGTGCCCCTTTTTGTTTCCCCACGTTCTCTCTGCGCTGTATGGGAGTGGGCGGCCCGCAGGAGTCGCCCACCGCAGGGCTCCCTCCCCACCGCAGGGCTGCGAAGTGGGGCCCGGCCTCCGTGACAGTGCTCGGGCTTCAGTGAGGAACTCGAGGCTCTTGCGAGGGGAGACGGGGAATGGTTTGTGTGTGTGTGAGGGGGTGGGGGCGTTGTTGGATCTTCTCGCCAGACCCGGGCTGGGGCCGGGTGGAGGTCCGAGCTAGGCGGCTGCAGGAGACTGGGCAGCCGCCTGAATCCAGGCTCTCCAAACCCAGGCCCCCTAGCGCCCCTCCGTTCCTCCTGCAGCGCACTGCCAGGGCGGCCTAGCTCTCCGCTCCCCAGGAGGCGGATTGTGCCGAACCACTGGGTTTCCACCCACGTGCTTCCGGGCTACCTCGTGTGAGTACTGGATGAAGAAGAGTGGGCGCGCCTGTACCAAATAAGGCCACGTGGCAGGGTTGTGTTGGGGGTGCCGTGCTGGGTGTGTGTATGTGCACGCTTGTTGGGACGCCGTTTGACTCGGGGGACCTTCCTGCCCATGGTAATCTAGACGCAGAGCTCCAGATATCTTGAGTTTGCCTGGCACAAATTCACTAGGACTCCCCTCCTGGCAGCGGGTGGGGAAGGCCAGAGTCCTGTGCTTGCTGCCCTTACTCCCACTGCCGCCAGCCTCTGCTTCTCTATGCCTCCTCCCTTTTTGTAAAGCAATTCAGGAACTTCAGCAGGAGAGACTGGGGGTGGGGGAGTCCCAGGTTAGGGAGGGAGTGGGCAACCTAAATTGCTTTCTCAGTGGCTCTGGCCAGCTGCAGCTCCCATGTAGACAGACCCTAGATCTTTCTGGCTCTTTCTAGGTCCAGCAGGGCCACTGCAGCCTGAGGCTCAGCTGGGATCTCCTCGGTGGCCCCTGCAGGTCCCCTGGAACTGGTGAGCTTCAACTTTGCCCACTTAGCAATCTGGGCCCAGGGAGCTCTTTTGTCCTGGACTGGAGTTGGCTGGTGCGCTGACACTTAGTGACCTAGGTCCTCCACTCACAGCAGGGGTGGGAGGAAAACAAGTCAGGAAGACGTGCCACCAACCCTAGTCCACTCAGGTGTTGCTTGGGACTAGGTCTCCTGAGGGTTTCTAGGAGGATCAGCCTGAGCTGGGGAAAGAGGCCATCCTCCCCCTCTGGCTTTGCCTTGCTCTCAGCCCCTTTGGCCATCCCTAATTCCTGCCACTTTTTGAGAGTGTGGGCCCGATCCAGTCTTTCTCCAGGGACCGTCTAGTTTCTCCCCACTCACCTTCTCTATGCCTTTTGACTGACTTCCTGACCTTCCGGTGCTGCTTAGTGCTGGGTCCCAGCAGCCTTCAGGTAAATAGGTCCCATCCCACCCTCACAACCCAAAGGGGGCCTTCTAGGGTGGGAAATGTGGCCTGTCCTGGGTTCTAGGGGAGCCAAGGTGTGTATATGATTGGGTGGGAGTCAGAGCCTGGGTTCACTCAGATGCTGCCTGTACAGAGCCTCCCCAGTCCTGCACTGCCAGTGGGATCGAAGCCCTGGCCGGAGCCTTCAGGATCCCCTTCAGGTGCTCAGAACCTGGAATGTAGGAGGCTCAGTCCTGTGTCTGGCTGTTCTTCCTTCTTCTGCATTTCTTGGGTGCTCTGGCAGGCACATCCGGTCAGCTCTCCTGCCCTGGCCCCCTGGCCCCAGCCCAGCCCTTCTCTTTCTGGTGCCACTTCCCTTTGCTGAGGCTGGGGGCCCGGCCTCTCTCCTGTGCTGCTGGCAGGCCTGGGTGGAGATTCTAGGCTGCTTCAGGTCACCCTCTACCCTTCTGTGGCCTTTCCTTTCCTTTCCTTTCCTTTCCTTTCCTTTCCTTTCTTTCCTTTCTTTTCCTTTCCTCCTTCCCCCTTGGCCTCTCAGTCTCCACCACCCTGCTCCCCGCTCTCAGCCTGTGCATCTCCCAGCCCATGCCCCAGAGCCAAAGGCTCAGAAGTCTGGATTTCTCTGCCTGCCTCACTCTCTTTTTGTCTGGGTCTCCTAAATTGCTAGCTTCAGTCACTCAATCACCTCAGTTAGTCACTGACTTATTTCAGGCCTGTCTGCCAGATGGCAGTGTCTGAGAATGCCGCAGGGAACAGGACCCTCTGGGCTCCAGGGGTGCCTGTCCTGAAGGTGGAGGTCATCCCTGGGTGGTAGACATGGGAACTTGAGGTGGCTGGGTTGGGGTAGCCAATGCAGGAGATGGGGGGTGCTGCCAGTCCTCCTAGCTGGCATTTACCCTCTCTGGAATCCAGGTGCCTACAGTTTGTCTTTTGCAACTGGGCTCAGTATAGATATCCTCAGTTGTTGCTGAATCCTTCCCCCCACACTCACATCAGTGCAGTTTAGGATCTACTGGTATGAGCCTGGACCCCTGAAGCCGCCCCCCAAGTGTAGCCTGGACTCCTCCTCCTCCAGGCAGCACTCCCCTCTTTGTTTCATCCCTGGGCAGGGATCCCAG